CAGGCTGTGGTATTTTGTGGAAGAGCCGCACTCAAGGGGCCAAAGAGCTGCATGTGGCTCGTGAGCCGAAGTTTGCTGACCACAGACGTAAGGCGATTACAGGAAGATGGCTACTCTCAACTACTGCCGATAGCAATATTATTACATATAGCCTCTTGGAAAGCAATTGGCTTGCCCTTTGGTTTAGTAACTCCACTTCTAAGTGTCAGTCCTATGGAAATAACCAAGGACAAAGAGGACAGACAAATATTGCATTTAACCTTGTTCACAGAAATGTTTTTCTATGATAGCAAAAACTGGAAAACCCCCCAAAATTTGTAGGAAACAGCAGAGAAAACCTGAAACTCACCGGATGGCATTCTACTCAGCCATTAACAATCATGTTTTAAGAAATATTTAATAACATGAGAAAATGCTCACACTTTAAGAGTAAAAATCTATGCAATGATTCCTAAATATATGTTGTGTATATAGATACACATATACAGGGTGTCCCCCCCAAAAGTATACACACTTTTTTATGATAGCTCAATTGATGTTTCTTTCTTTTCAGATTTAACCCATTGGAATTAATAATTATTCAAGGTGTGTAAACATTTTTTGGGGGGACACCCTATATATGTGAATGACATATATCCATAGGAAGAAAAAAATAACTAAAGGAAAATAAAAATGTTAACAGTTACCTCTTTGTAGTGTGATGACTAATAATTTTTTCTTCTATTATTCCTTTGAAAATATATATTTATTGATTTCAGAGAGAAAAGGAGAGGGAGAGAGAGAAAGAATTATCAATGATGAGAGAGAATCATTGATTGGCTGCCTTCTGCACACCCCTTACTGAAGATCAAGCCCACAATCTAGGTATGTGCCCTGATTAGGAACTGAATGAACCATGACCTCCTGGTTCACATGTTCATGCTCAACCACTAAGCCAAGCCAGCCAGGCTATCTATTATTCCTTTTAATATATATTTACCGAGTACTACTCTGTGCCAGACATTAAAGCAGAAAGCCTCTGCTATCAAGGGGAATACTAGTTTTCTTTACATTTTCCACAAGGAAAATATATATATAATCCTTCCATAATCTTAAAAACCATAAAATTATAATATGGAGTGAATGCTAATTTTGGCAAATCAGCTGTAAAGCAACATTTTTGGATCAGCTGGGGAAGAATTTGAATATGGCCTTGAATATTAGTTTAGGTGAAAATTTCCTGTGATGACAGGAGGAGTCACTAACAGACTGAAACAAAACAAAAAAACTATAAAGCCATCAGTACAATAAGATTTCATTTTTTGTAAAACGCACATATATGCATGGAAAGATATGTACTAAACTGTTAACAGTGGAGCTCTCTGGGTAGTGAAATTGTGATTTCTTTCTTTTCTATTTTCTACAATGCTCTTGTATTTTTTGTACTAAAAGACTATTTTTTTAAATTAAAAAATATGTACATTCACTATTTACTGAGCATCTACTATATACAAAACTCTAAGTTCTATAAGGAGAAGTGAGTAAAGGTGTCATGACCTTTGAAAAACCAACAATTAATTAGGGGGGACAATACAAGAAAACAGTAAAAGCCAATTACTGAAGCAGAATATAAACACCATATGAACTAAAATGTGGCTATAGGATTCTAAGAAAAAGATCTTACTTGACTGGGAAGAGGGGAAAAAAATGCTGAAATGAGGAAAAAGCTTCATAAAGGATAAAGAATTTGAAATGGGAAGGATTTTAATTGAGAGAGGAAAAGGTAGGCACTAAAGATAAAGCATGTGGCAACTGTCAAGGAGCAGGAAATCACATAGTAGAGTCTGGTCAGAAAGTAGGAGAGATGGAATAAGGCAGTTATGCTGACGACCTTGAATTTTAGAAGGTGGCACCTCTGTGTAAGTTCTTTGAGTTTAGCAATGGGAAAATCATTAAAGGTTCCAATTAAAGAAACTGTTCTACCACTTCTCATCACCTCTGTTGCCACCACCATCTTGGTTCTAGCCACTATCATCTTCTAGCTATATCACTGTAACCAGCTCCTAACGCAATCTCCTGCTTTCACTCTTGCCAAACAGATCCTTGTGAGTTCTCTACTCAAAAACCCTGCAATGGCTTCCCATCACAGAGTAAGAAGCCCAAATAGCTGGATTGTCTACAAAGTCCCTACAACATTGCCCTCTCACCCTCTAACTTGCTGATCACAGCTACAACTCTTCTGCTTGTAATTTCTTGAATATTCCAGGCATACTTTTACCTCTTCCCCCTTATTCTCTTCTCTTTCTACAGAAATGTCTTAAGCCTTTTCTAACTCAATCCTATATAAAATTGTAAGTACCACCAACCTCCCACCCCAATTCAAAGTAAAAAAGTTTGTTCTTGTCTATCTCCCTATCTTTCTCCATAATATTTAACATCATCTGCCATCTCTGTATTTCATTTCTCTATCCACATATACAAACATGTGTGTGCACACACATATAAGAAATTGAAGTCCTATGACGGCTAATTTTTTCCCCTTGATTGTTCATTTCATATCACCAGGTAAAACGAAGCCTGTATACAGCAAGTGCTCACTCAGTTAAGTATTTGCTGAATGAATGGCAGGAAAAGAATACCATAGTGTTAGTAGATACTTAGTTGAAATGACTTGCAGCATATTATAAATATTTATGTAAATATGTGAATTTATTTTAATTTACTACTTGATTTTCCTCTGGGAACTATTCATCAAAATACTGCTTCTAGATTAAGCTTTGAGCATATACAACCTTTAATTTATTAGCAATTTATCTTTGCAAGGTTTACTTAAGTTATTCAGAATGGGTTGGTAGTGACTGAGAAATGATAGGACAGAGTCTTAAATCTATTTTCCTTCTCTTTTCACACCTCCCAAACTAATAAGCCATGACTCCCCATCTTCCTACTACTGTATAGTTTCAGACCTTTACCTTTCTCAGAGAAAAGGTCTAATCCGGACTTATGAGCCCCTACCCTAGGATAAGCCAGAAATGGAAACTAGGGGTGTGATACAGAGCTACTGAGGTCACTGGCAGCAATTAGAAAGCCCAGGCAAGAGAAACTGCTGTAGAGGAACCTGGAGAGGGCAACATTTCTTAATCCAAATACTTTCAAGTTAGAGGCTCCTTGAATTTTAAAAGTCAACACAAAATGATACCAACTCCTTCCCTTTCCTCTTTTAAAATATACCACGCTGAAAGGTAGAGTGATACTTTATATAGCTTTTTAAACAAAAACCTTAACTTTTAATTTTATTATGATTTTAAGCATACAATAAAGTTTTTTTTTTTTTGGGGGGGGTTAATGAATGAGCAAGTACCCACTTAGTTGTGTTGAAACTTAATATTTTACCAAATCAGCTTTATTTATTTATTTTTTAAATATATTTTTATTGATTCTTTACAGAGAGGAAGAGAGAGGGATAGAGAGTTAGAAACATTGATGAGAGAGAATCATCGATCAGCTGCCTCTTGCACACCTCCCACTGGGGATGTGCCTGCAACCAACGTAAATGCCCTTGACCAGAATTGAACCCGGGACCTTCCAGTCCACAGATCTGAGCCAAACCGGTTTCGGCCCAAATCAGCTTGAGACTTAAAGACAGTAAATTTATGGTTCAAAACCCTTGGGCCCTTCCTAGATCCTTTATCCCTAATTTTCCAGAGGTAACTTTAATTCTGATTTGCCATTTCCCATTCCCAGGTATATTTTCATACTTTTGCTACATATTCCATGATTTCCAGAAAAAAAATATTGTATATTTTTGATTATGTTAAAACTATGTAAATGGTATATTATATCCTGGCTGTCACTTAACAGCTGTTTGACTTTAAGCAAGTTACTGACATCTCTCTGCCTCAATTTGTTCTCTGGAAAATGGAGAAAATGGGAATAAGCCTACTAGCTTATAGAGTTGCTGTGAGGATGAGATGAGTTAATGTACTGTATATCATTTAGAAAAGTAGTGTCTACCAGTGTTAGTAATTATATAAAGTTGCAAAAGAACTTGCAACTGTGTATATAAGTTTGTGTATTAGTTTTTAACTAACTGTAAGCAGAACAAATAAATATTTAAAATATTTTATAATAGGATTTACCTAGCTACATGATATTCATAAAGGCAATTGGAGTCTGCAAAATTTTATCAATGAAATTATGGACACATTATCTTTGTTTTGATATGGAATTATTTTTATAACAGTCTCTCAGTAAAAAAAAAAAAAATCAAGAAAACATCAAAATTGTAATGCCCTACATATTATGCTAAATCTACTCAATTTCTTTCAGGAGCCTTTTTAATATTTAAAAATATCTATTTAGAAAATTAATATATTTAACTGATACATAAACAGAAGAATTAGATCTAAATAGCATTTACTAGGTTCCATGTAATGGGCTAGATGTTTTACGCAGGCTCTGTCTTTTAATCCATGTGAAATAGCTTCATGGACAAAATTTAGAAGACTACCACAGGTACTTTGTTTAAACATATACACAGGGTATGGTAAAAATAGGTTTACAGCTGTAAGTACGCAAAACAGTTTATTCTTGTATTATTTATTAACTATTGTATTACTTTCCATAGGAACAACTTGCTCCACCCTCTACTTCTGGGAAGAGTTAAAAATTACTACAAAAAACGAACATTTAAGCCGACAAGGGGCACAAATGTAAACTTGCCTAAATTTTATCAACGCAATAATGTTGAAACATTTATTTCACCTAGAGTTTGGCGAACATCTGTATCTAAAAAGTTAACTGAAAGCAACAATTTAAATGTTAAAAAAGGATTCAACTCTCTCCCCCGCCCCGCCCCTCCCCTCCAACCCCCCAGACTGGGGAGTACCAACGCAGCCAGTGAAAGGGAAGATTCAAGTTCTACTTTTCTCCTCTCCTAAAGCGAGAACTTTGAAACGGAACCTTTGCTTTTGTCTCATTTATGTCCAGTAAAAAATATTCACAAGTATAAGTTCATCCTTCCCTGGCCCCAGTAGAAAATGTAGTGGGAAACCAAGCTACAACTTGCATTAACCAACAAAAGAAAAACCCATCCATGCTCAGTCCTTTCCTAGAAGAGAAGGGGCCCTGCCACACCGTTCACCCTACATTCTGCCCTCGGCCCAAGCAGGACGTGAGCACCTGCCAAGCTGGGCGCTTCAAGAATAATGGTCCAACTTTTCGGACGCAATCTGGGGAAGAGACACAGTTTATTTCTCGAGGAGCGCAAGAAAGGGAGCAGACAAGGTCCTCTCGGGAAGGGATGCACGAGCTTTGGGGGCCGAGAGTCTCCTCCGCCCGCAGGAGAATTCAAAATCCGCTTGCTTCCGAGAGACCCTTAGGAGCAGCACACTGTGGCTGCGGCCAGCCTCCGGCCTGGGCGAAACTGCAGGCAGTGTTTACACCTGTCACGAGGGAGGAGGAGGGAGAAAAAAGGGAGCCCCAGCAAAGCCCCAAACTTCTCAGCGGCTCCCGGGAGGGAGGGAGCGGCCCGGCGCGGAGCTGTGGGCAGGTGGCAGCGGAGGGACAGGGCGAGCCGGCGGCGGCGGCCGGGGAGGTGACGACGACTCTCACTTCCCCGGCCGGTGCCCGGGGTGGCAAGGAGGAAGCTGTACGCTTCGGCGCCGCCGCCGCCGCCGGCTTCCCCGCACCCGCCGCGGAAGAGGGCAGAGCCCGAGCCCGGAGCCCGCAGGCCCGCAGAGCCGGCACCTCCCCGCAGCCCCCGGGCTCCGCGGCAGACAGGTGCCCCCTGCCCCGGGGGCCAGGGTCTGGCGGGTGGGCTGGGTCCCCTCACCTTCTTCCTCCAAAGCGTCGCTGGGGGAAGAGGAGTGGTGGCGCTTACCTGGCTCGTCCGGGGCGGCCGCGATGGGCATGGCTCAGGGGCCCGGGGAGGAACGGGCTCCCCGGGGAAGGACTGGCTGTTCCGACGCGGAGCTGGCGGTGAGAGCGGAAGGCGATCTACTCACAGCCCTGTCAGCGAAGCAGCGCCATGGACGCCCACCCGGAGTTTCAGCGCTGCCGCGGAACCCCCATCCCATTACCCTCCGCCCTCTTCCGCCGCCGCCGCTGCCGCCGCCGCCGCCTCCTCCTCCTCCTCCTCCGCGGAGAGCCCCGCCCACTCCACACACTCTCCCATCATGCAGCGGGGGAACCGCTGTACGTCACTTCCGGGCGCAGGTGGCTGGGTCGGGGCCGGACGCAGGCGGCGGCCGGGGAGGCGTGTATATGTGTGTGTGTTGTGGGAGGGAACTCCAGGGGAGTTAGTGTCTCAACGCTACCCCGCGCAGGCGCCGTCGCGCAGAGCGCCGGCCGCCATTTCGGGTGAGGGCAAGTTGCCCTACTCTCTACTTCCGGGGGAGTCACGGAGACGTTGGAGGTCGGGGAAAGGCGGCGACGTCCTTCCGCCCTCCGCCGCCCCCCGAGGCGGCGTTTGGGACGAGGGACAGGTGCTTCCGCGCCGGTTCCTAGTAAGGTCCAGCTCAACACGAGCTAAGTCTCCTGCTCACCAAATAAATTTACTAAAATTTTACATACATTTTGAAATACCGAATTCCATCTTTAAAAAAGCAACGTGGAGCGCGGATCGGCGTGTCCTTTCCGCCCCCGAAAAAAAACGACTTTTTCATCCGCGAATCTCTTCCTCTTTTTGCATTCGATCTGACAGAGAAGAGGAAGCTGATGTTTAGCAAATAAAGAAGAGGTGGTTGTACGTGAAACGTACGAGGGGAAGGAAGAGGGAAAGTCGCCGCCGAACGGACAAGTCTTCTCAAAGACGGGATTTTGTTCACGGATGGAAGCTGTGGTCTTTTTATTTATTTTTGTTATTATTTTTTTATTTTTTTAACCGATGCTGCGGGAGAATAGCCGATGAAATGAAAGACATCAAATAACACTGCTGCGTTTCTCTAACGGGTCATAACAGGTTCTTTTCCTACCATCAGTCCTGAGCCGTTGGCCATCGCGTGTTGATAAGTTTCACGCCCCCCGGCGTTTATCATTGAATAGTTAGGACGCCGCCGCCGTGAAATTCAGGAGGTTATTGTCATCGTCTGGGGTGACGAGCCGGGGCTCCGATCACCAGATCGCGAACCCTAATGTAAAGTATTCCACAATAGCAAAGCTCCACAAGCTACCCCGAGAAACAGGAGGAAAAACACCCCCTTCGGCAACGGGAAGTGTCCACCCCTGTGAGTGGAGGAATTTCACAAACCCGGGGAAGAGAAGGACAAAAGCAGTTCATCATGGTCCATCCCGACTCTGCAGTGTTCTAGGCACATTAACGTGGACAGACCCGCATGTGTCTACAAACTCATTCGCTGTCAGATGACTACATAATTTTATATTGCGTAGACTACATAATTTTACATTGGAGTACCACCCATTGCCTCGTGGCCGTGCTGGATTTTTTGGTTATTGTTAAAGCGAGAATAATCTACTAATATATGGCTTGTCAAATTTATTCCTATTGCATTTCGCCCCCTGCTGGTTTTAGCTGCATGATTGAATGTACATATATGTGTTAGTATCTATGTTTATTACCAAAGAAGGAAAGAAAACTGTGTGTGTAGAAACTGGAAATTAGTTATTTTAAATGAACACATGCCTGTTTTTACTTGATAGCTCTACTCAATAGAAATGTTAGGATAATAAGAACATATGATAAAATCTTAAAGCTGAACCTATATCAAGAAAATGTTTAAAGTGAAATAATTAACATCAGAACATTCAAAAGAAAACCCTGCTTTCAGAAAAAAATATCTTCCTGGTTTCATACATAACATGGGATTATGACTTTTTTCAGGTAAATGCAGAAGCCAATTCTGTTCACTAAGGACAATTAAGAAATCAGAGTCCAACGCTATACATAGAACTATTTGTCCAGCTGACTTGTGAGTGCAATCAACCAATTGTAATTGGTAATCCTACCATAATTCTGAAGACAGCATTTCAATGCTTGTGAAATTGTATTGCAAAAGCAAAGTATTTATATCTGAATGTTTTTAAAATGATGAATCTATGAGAAACACTATATTCATTGCATTTGGGTCCAATGATAGTATTGTTTTTGTTTACCTTTTAAAAATTATGACTGTAACTAACTACATTAAGCTAAGATTTTGTATCAAGAAAAGAAAAAATAAATGATCTTGTTTTTTTTCTCCTGTGCAGAATTTTTGTAAAGTTGTAGTCATCATATAAGTTGATTTTGTATCCTTTTGTTCACTTACTAGTATGTTATAAGCATTTCCTACTATTGCTTAACATTTTATAAAACCTTAATTTTACTCTCCTACATAGTTTCAATGGACTGATTTATCCATTATCCTACTCATAGATATTTTCCACTATTATAAATAATATTTTGATGAACAGTTTTTGCATGTGGCTTTGTCTGATTTTTAGGAATTTCTTTTCAATATAAAAATGGTTGAGCCAAAAGGCTATATTTTACTGGTACATCATCATCTCATATTATTTCTTAAAAGACTTCCAATTTACACTGTCACTAGTGATATAGAAATATACCAATTTTACCTCCTCACCAGCAGTGGATAATAATTAAAAGAAATAAAAAGATAAAATTATATTTTATAGACTAAAAGTTGAAAGGAACTTAAACTCATATTGTATAAAATATCAACAAACAAACAAGCACAAAACTCCAGCAACGTGTGATTCTGGAAAAGTAATTTACACTGACTTTGTATAAATTACTTAACCTCTGGACCTCAGATGTGTCAAATGAGAGGAGAACTAGACCACAGATTCGCAACTCTACTAGGACAAGTAACTACTGTGTTTAGCACATGTAACTCTGAGAATATGGTCAAAGATTTGACCCTTTCTGCAGAAAATGCTCATCCCCCAGATGCTCAAATTTCTTAAACCGAAATCTCATTAATGGAAAAGAGTCTATAATTGCCAGCTTAAGAAACCCTCTAAGGTCCTTTCCATACTTAAATATTTTTCTATGATTTGATTTTATAACCCAGTGAACATGTTTTAGTGGATAGTGATGTAGTCATAGGTGCATTACTATTCAGCACACTTAAACTAGAGCTATAGGTATCAATCTGATTAGATGATAAAAAAGTGAATTTTCTGAATAAATATGAATTTTATAATGAATATTACTTTAAAACTAAGTCAATATTTTATTACTTATGGATATGTATTTTATAGTAAAGTATAAAAATATGGACTGGCATGATATACACAAATTCATTATGGACTAGTATGAAATGGGTCAAAAAGTATTAAGACTTATCTGTAATTGCAATGTTTTATATCTGATGTAAATGTGACAAATCATTTAAATTTTTCCAGCTTTATTAAGATATATTTGGCAAGTAATTACATTTAAAGTATGAAACTTGATGTTTTGATTAAACCATTTACATTTAATTCTAGGTGGAGGGTATATGGATGTTTATTATATAATTATGAAATATTTTTTAACCATGAAGAAAATATATTCATTTTTTTTCATGGTTAAAAAAATAACTTTTCCAGGATCAGTTAGTTTAAAACTATGAATTGTGAAAAAAATAAAACTATGAATTGTGAACAGGGACCTAGAGATAGTTCTTGATTATGCTAATGCTAATATATTAGATTTGCAGAATATTTCAAAGTATATTAAATCTTTAAGTATATTATATCTTCTGACTCTCACACAGATCTCTATAGAGTCAATTAATGCCATTTTACAGAAGATGTGGCCACATAGGTCTAGTAATATTTAATGTCGTTTTCTAATACTTTTTAAAAATCGAATTTATTTAAACAATACAACAAAATTTAATCAACAATATAGTTGCCGTTGTTTTCTACTACTTGTGCCCAACGCTCAGGAAGCATTTTAATCCCTCTGTTGTAAAATTCTTGTGATTTTGATGCAAAAAATTCGGTCAATGCATTTTTGAGGCATTCTTCATTATTAAATTTTTTTCCAAGAAGGAAGTTTTGCAAAGAACGAAACAAATGGTAATCGGAAGGGGCAATATCAGGAGAATATGCAGGTTGAGGGAGAACTTCCCATTCCAACTGGCGCAGTTTTTCAGCAGTGATTCTTGCAGTATGCGGTCGTGCGTTATCGTGGTGAAGAATTACGCCCTTCCGATTAATCAGCGCGGGTTCTTTTTCTCTTAAAGCTTGGGCTAACCTTTCCAATTGGGCACTATACACTGCACTTGTAATGGTTTGGTTAGATGGTAAAAGTTCATAAGGAAGAATTCCTTTAAAATTCCACCAAACACACAACATCACTTTTTTCGCATGCAAGTCAGGTTTTGGCGTGGGCTGCGGAGCCTCATTTTTGTCCAACCATTGAGGCCACCTTTTCAAATTAATATACAGCACCCATTTTTCATCTCCGGTAACAATTTGCTCTAAAAACGGCAAACTGTTTTGACGAGAGAGGAGGGAACTGCAAATTGTGACTCTTTGATTACGGTTGTTGTCGGTCAACTCATGAGGAACCCATTTTCCAAACTTTTGGACTTTGTCAAGTGCACGCAATTGATTGGAAATTGTTTTTTGTGAACAATTTAAAGTTGTCGCAAGCTCTTGTTGGGTAATTTGAGGATTTTGCACCAAAAGAGCTTGAAGAGCTTCTTGATCAAAATTGGACACACGGCCTCGACCACTCTTGTCATCTAACAAAAAATTTCCCTCGCAAAATTTCTCAAACCAACACTGGCATTTTCTGGCACTAACTGCATCTTGACCAAGAGCACTACAGATGTTTTTTGCAGCCTCACTTGCTTTTCTTCCTAATTGGAACTCATAAAGCATGCAGTGCCGAATATGCTCTTCATCCGCCATCTTCTTAGCCCTAGTTTTGCAACAAAAACCAAACCAAACACAAACTTTTTCAAGCAAAACTTGTTAATTGCACTTCACACGTTCTGTAGATACCACGTGTTTGAAGGTTATGTCAATACAAGTCAACGCCAAGCAAGATTTTAAACGAATGTTTAAAACAACATTAATTATTACTAGACCCGATATTTTGAGATTTGTTCAAGATCAAAAAGTTAGAGATGGAATTAGGACTAGAACAGTGACATCTTGATTCACAGCCCCACCCTCCTATACCATCTGGCCTTCTCACTACAGAAGAGAAATTTTATGGTCCCTAAGTTTCTTCATGGGTAAAAGAAAATTTGCCTCATTTTGTCATTTAATATGCTTTTCCATTTTCTTTATGTTTGAATTATTTTCTAAAGGAGTTTTTTTCTTCTTACAATGAGTAAGGTTAATAAATGGAACATGCTTTCACTATAATCTAAAGTACTGTGCATACAGAATTGAAGCCAATGAAAATTTGCTGTAAAAAGTTTAGCAGCAGGGGAAACTATGTAGTACAAAAGTAGTCTCTCCCCCTAGTTTAAATATATATTATTGATTTCAGAGAGGAATGGAGAGGGAGATAGAAACATCAATGATGAGAAAAAAATCATTGATTGGCTGCCTCCTGCATGCCCCACACTGGGGATTGAGCCTGCAACCCTGGCCATGTGCCCTGACCAGGAATCAAACTATGACCGCCTGGTTCATAGGTTGATGTCCAACCACTGAACCACACCAGCTGGGCCTCCTAGTTTTACAGGTAAGATTTATATTGTCCTAAGAGGTTAAATGACAATGATGTCCTCAGTCATCCAGTTGGATTCTTGAGAACTAGAAACCAGATTTCATGTTCCTAATACAGAGTAAATTCCATTTTTAGTCCCCATTACTTCTTGTTTGATACAATCTTCTTTTTTTTTCCTTTCACCAAAGCACATAAGAAACCAATACTATTTGGGATCCAAATAAACTTGTTTTCCATATACTCAGCTGGCTATGACCATAATATAAGATGTGCTGAAGATAAACATTCATGCTAGGTATGAATTGTGTTACACATGAAATAACAGTATAAAAAGAAGCTTGTTTTATAACAACAATATGATTAAACTTTTTTGTTGCTAATGTTTTTGTTGCTGGATTGATGGAGACTTCCCCATTTTATACTTGGTGAAACAACAGAGATTTTGTTTCTTAATCATTCTGACTGGTCTTTGTAGGACTTGCTTATCAAGTCTATTGCATAAATAATGAAAATTACAATGTAATGTTTTGATACTTTCTGGATTACTGGATAGCTAGAACATTCTGGACAGATATTCAAAATGTCAAGACAGTACAGACCTTTCCAAAGATAAAGTTTTAAAGGATAGGCTCCTGGTGGTAGAAATTCAAATTAATACATAACATTTAAAGTAAGGTCCCTGAAGACATTTCCTAAATGTAGAGGAAGAAAGGCTCATACCTAAATTTAACTCCTCTTTTGTTGGCTTTATTAACATGTTAAAATGACCATCACAGAAGTCATTGGCAAATTAAATGTGCTACTTAAAAAATAAGTAGAGCTACATTCATTGTTCAAAATGATAGCTACTAACCACATGCGGTTGTTTAGCATTCAGAACTTGTGTAGTCTATATTGAGATGTGCCACAGGATTTTGAAGACCTAGTTCAAAAATTAATTTAATAATTTAAAGCTATTGATTACATTTTAAAATTATGTTAGATATATTTGATTAAGTAAAGATTTTTAAATTAATTTCTTCTGTTTCTTTTCACTTAGAAAAAATGTAGCTACTAGAATATTTTACATCACATAGTATTTCAAATTCTGTTTTTATTGTACAATGCTGAACTAGAGTATTACCTTTGTGTAGAACTTCCATCTGTTTTTAACTTTGTGTGGTAGTGGGATCCAGAGAAATGTGGCAGAGATAGTTTCATGAAAATTATACTTGCATGAGGACAGAGATTTCTGTCTGTCTTATCCATTTTCATATTCCCAACTTCAAGAATATTGCCTGGCACATAGTGATGAAATGATATTTGTTGAAGATAGAACATTTTCTTAAGTCAATGGACTCTTTTCTAAAAATAAAACCAAACAAATTAATAGTTAAATGTTACTAGCTTTAATGAGGCTTTGCTATTTATCATGTTCTTCAATGGTTTTATAGTTATCCTATTCTTGGTTACTTTTGTAATTTGTCTTTTAAAATTAATTAACAATTATGTACTCAGCATTGTGCTGAGGGACTGTAAAGAAATAGGCCTTGGTTCTTGCCCATAAACAAAAGATTTTACAGTCTAGTTAGAGAGACAAGACTAATAGACTTAGACAACTTTAACATCGAAACTTCTCATTCTTTAAAATGGAGAACAATTAAATGCTGAGGTGCATAGGATTAACAAAGAAACGGGGATTCAGAGAAGAGGGAGATCTGCTGTCATAGTTGGGAGAAGCTTCACTTCAGACATGGGTTTGCCCTCATGTATCTGATTGGCTCTACTGGAG